GGGGGCACCCCTGCCCGCTAGTGTACCTGCTGGAATCATGGCCCAGTCACAGCAGAAGGGTGCACACAACCAACACAGGGGATACCCCTAAAGCACCTGGTTCCGGTGACCATGTTTCTAGGCCCCACAGCACACCTTCCATATAAGGCCAAGCCTTCAACGCCAGGAGTCAGTGCTGACCTACCTAATTTATACAGAAACAAATACAGACAGACAAAATGAGCAGACAGAGGAATGGCTTCCAAACAAAAGGACAAGACAAAATCTCAGAAAAGAGCTAAATGAAAAAGAGATAAGCAATCTACCTAAATTAAGAGTTCAAAGTAATGATTATAAAGATGCTCATCAAACTTGGGAGAGGAGTGGATGAACTCAGAGGGGATTTCAACAAAGAGATAGAAAATATAAAAAAAGAACAAATCAGAGCTGAAGAATACATTAACCAAAATGAAAAATACAACAGAGGGAATCAACAGCAGATTAGAGGATGCAAAAGAAGAGATCAGTGATCAGGAGGATAGGGTAATGGAAATCATTCAAGCTGAACAGCAAAGAGAAAAAAGAATGGAAAAAATGAGGACAGGTTAAGAGACCTTTGGGACAACATCAAGCATACCATAAGGGATACCACAAAAAGAGAGAAAGGGGAAGAAAACTTAATTTTAGGAAATAATAACTGAAAAATTACCTAATCTGGGAAAGAAAACCCAGGTCCAGGAAGCACAGATACCTCTGAACAAGATGAACCCAAAGAGGTGCACAAGGAGACACATTATTAAAATCTCAAAAATTAAAGACAAAGAGAATCTTAAAAGCAGTAAGAGAAAAGCAACTAGTTATGCACAAGGAAACATCCAAAAGAGCTGATTTTTCAGCAGAAAATTTGAAGGCCAGAAGACATGATATGTTCGAAGTGCTGAAAGAAAAAAAACCTACAACCAAGAATCTCTACCCAGCAAGAAAGATTATCATTCAGAATTGAAGGTGAGATAAAGAGTTCCCCAAACAAACGTTAGAGTTCATTACCACTAAACCAGCCTTGCAAGAAATATTAAAGGGAATTCTTTTTTTTTTTTTTTTCAAATAGCTGATGCTTTTTTTTTATTTTAAGATTTTATTTATTTGAGAGAGAGAGAGAGAACAGAGGGAGAGTGAGAGTGAGAAGCAGACTCCCCACTGAGCAGGGAGCCCTATGCGGGGCTTGATCCCAGACCCTGAGATCATGACCTGAGCTGAAGGCAGATGCCCAACCAACTGAGCCATCCAGGCGCCCCTTAAAGGGAATTCTTTAAGCAGAAAAGAAAATACCATAACAAGAAGAAAATCATAAAATAAAAAATTTCACTGAAAAAGCAAATATTATACATTAAAGGTAGATCAATCCCTTTTATAAAGCTAGTATGAAGGTTAAGACAAAAGTAATCAAATCAACTATAGCTATAATAATTAGGAATACACAACATAAAAAGATATAAAATATGACATCGAATACATAAAACATGGGCAGGGGATAAAATAGTAATGCTTTTAGAATATGTTCAAACTTAAGCAACCATCAACTTAAGTAGATGATTATATACATAGGTTGTTATATATCAACCTCTTTTGATATATACATACATACATACATATATCTCAAAACAAATGATACACAAAAAAAATCAAGAAAAAAGGAATAAAAGATCTACACTGAAGAAAGTCATCAAATAAGAAGGGAAGAGGGCAAGAAAGAGAGAACTAGAAAGAAAACCAGAAAACAAGGAATAAAATCACAATAAGTACATACCTATCAATAATTACTTTAAATGTGAATGGACTAAATTCTCCAATCAAAAGACACCAGGTGACAGACAGAAAAATAAGACCCATTTATATGCTGCCTACAAGAGAATCATTTCAGATCTAAAGACAGACTTAAAGTGAAGGAATAGAAGATATTCCATCAAATGAAAGTGAAAGAAAAAAAGTTGGGTAGCAGTACTTAACATTGGACAAAATAGACTTTAAAACAAAGACTAACAAAGGACAAAGAAGGGTGTTAGTAATGGAGGGATCCATTCCAACAAGGTTGAACAACTGTAAATATCTATGCACCCAACATAGTAGCACCTAAGCATATAAATATATAGAGCAAATATTAAAAGACACAAAGGGACAAAATGTAATACAATAATAGCAGGGGACTTTAATACCTCTCTTATATCAAAATTGATATTTCACCCAAACAGAAAATCAACAAGAAAACAGTGGCTCTGGATGATACATTAGACCAAATGCACTTAACAGATATACAAAGAACATTCCATCTAAAAACAGCAGAATACACATTCTTTTCAAGTGCACATAGAAGAGTCTCCAAGACAGATCACTTGTGGATCCACAAAACAAGTCTCAATAAATTTAAGATTGAAATCCTATCAAGCAGTTTCCAAGCACAATGATAGGAGACAAAAAATCAATTACAATAAAAAAAAAAAAAAAACAAACTAGAGGGGTGCTGGGGTGGCTCAGTTGGTTAAGGGTCCAACTCTTGATTTTGGCTCAACTCATGGTCTCAGGGTTGTGAGATCAAGCCCCATGTCGGGCTTCATGCTCAGGGAGAAGTCTGCTTGAGATTCTCTCTCTCCCTCTGCCCCACCCCGCTGCTGTTTGTGCTTCCGCTCTCTCAAATAAAATCTTAAAAACAAAACAAAACAAAAAAAAACCCACGAAAAAATACAAACCTGTGAAGGCTAAAAAAAAAAAATACTATTCAACAACCAATGGGTCAATAAAGAAATCAAAGAGAAAATAAAAAAAATACCTGAGACAAATGAAAATGGAAATACAACATCCCAAAATCTCTGGCATGCAGCAAAAGCAGTTCCAAAGGAAAGTTTATAGAGAAAGAGGCCTACCTCAAGATATAAGAAAAATCTCATATATTTAACCTTATACTTAAAGGAGCTGGAAAAAGAAGAACAAAGCCCATAACTAGCAGAAAGAAGGAAGTAATGAAGATCAGAGCAGAAATAAATGAAACAGAGACTAATAAAAACAGTTGAAATGATCAATGAAACCAAGAGCTGGTTCTTTGAAAAGATGAACAAAATTGATAATTAAAATCCCTGAGCTTCAGTATTATTTTTTTTTAAGGGGGGGGTAGAAGGGCAGAAGGAAAGGGAGAGTGAGAATCTTAAGCAGATTCCACACCCAGTGTGGAGCCAGACGCGGGGCTCAATCTCACAACTCTGAGATCATGACCTGAGCTGAAATCAAGAGTCAGACACTTAACCAACTGAGCCACCCAGGTGCCCCTCAGTATTCTTTTCTATCAAAAGCTAGTAAGTCACAAGGATGAAAGGTACAGCACGGGGAATATAGTTAGTGGTAACTATAATAGCATTGTATACTAAGAGATAGTAGTTACACTTGGGGTGAACGTAGCATAACATATAGAGCTGTTGAATCACTATGTTGTACACATGAAACTAAGGTAACATTGTGTGTCAACGTCAGTTAAAAAATACCTATTTCATTAGGTGGCTATGAGGCTTAAATAAAAAAACATGTAAAGTGGCTATTAGTAGGCATCCCATAAGTAATAGCTGATATTATCATTATTATCATTACCACACAGGCAAATAAAAAACAAGGTGAGCATTATGACTGCCTAGTTTGCAGCCTGGAAGCCATACTCAGACTGCAGCACAGGCAGGAGTATAAAGAGCCCAGAGGTCTCCTCGATGTGAGAAGACAGAGGCCAGAGCTCTGGGAGGCCAAGGCAGCCAGAATTTGTGAGAAAGACTATTGGTTATGGAAACACAGAGAGAGAGAGAGACAGGGGAATGGGAGGGAGGAAGTGAGAGAGAGCTCCTGAGATATTCAGAGGGATCCTTTCAAGTCTTTGGCTGAGAACTGATCTGTAAGTGCATGAGATTGGGAGGCTGGAGAAAGTACTATCAGAAAATATGACAAAATGGAGCTCACAGAGGACTAGAAATAGTTTGCACTCCCAACAGCCAAGTGAAGAACTCTTGAAATACACAGGGCACTGAATGCATTCCTCAGAAAGGTTGTGACTTAGCCTCAGATTAAAGGCTGCTAAGAACCTGTCATAACAAAGCTTAAAAGCAAGCTTCAAACCAATCTGCAAGTGACTTATCTCTATGGGCCAGAGTAAAACCCACCACTCAACCCAATACAAGATCCAGCCCTCAACAGAATTAAAACAAAACAAAACCTCACAAAATCTAGTATCTTGTCAAAAATTGCCAGGCTTGCAAAGAAGCAGAAAAAAACAGGACCCATAGGAAGGGGGTGGGGGGGTGGTGGGGGGGAACAAACAGTAAAATAGTACAGAAATAACAGAGCTAGTGAAATTAATAGTCAAAGACCTTCAAACAGCTATTATAAATATTACACATATGCACAAAGGTGCCAAGGAAAGCATGAACATAATGAGGTAAGGGAAAATATAAGACCCAAATGGAACTTCTAGAAGTAAAAATAAAATACCTGAAATGAAAAATAAATTAAGTAAAATTAACAACGGGTTAGACACTGCAGAAAAGAGCAATGAATTTGAAGACACAGTAACTGGAATTTTTTTTTTATATTATTATTGGTGCTTCTAAGTAAATGTGTTTAGAATAAAGTGTGATGCAGGTAAATTCAATATATCAAGATATGTCAATATATTGAGAGCATCTGTTCATAAAAGATTATATACTATACAAACTATTCAAGTCATATAAAACCACTTTTTCAGTGTCTTTTCAACTGAGAAGAATCCTGTTCAGTACACCTCCCCTCCTCAGGTGGTTCATACTGAGCAAGCTTTGTGTTCAGTTTTTTATTTTCTTCTACAATAGCTTTATATTTCTCTTTCATTTCTGCTAATTCTAGGTGAAGCAGCTCTATATCTGGATTTTCTGGGTTAGCAGCTTCTAACTGATGCTTTAAAAAGTCTAAAGCACTATTAGGTTTCCCTGGTTCTTCATATAAGGCTACCACAATACCTTCTTGGTCAGCGTGTCCAGCACCCCCGACTTCAAGTACCTCCAGAGCTGCTGGCGCTTCAAGTGGGAGCCTTTGTAATGGGCCGCGGCAACAACGGCAGCAGCAGAGCTGGAATTTTTACGATGGTGAGTTACCTTTATTTTTTATTTAATTTTTATGTATGGCGAATTATTAAATGGTTTCATGGGAGTTAACCAAATATCCAAGCATCTGTTAAATAATTTTTTTTTCTGTTTCTGCTGATGTATGATCCGATTGCTATCAAATATGAAGTTGCCTGAATCTGAGCCTTCGAATGTAGCCATCACTCTGTCTCATGAATCACAGTGCTTCAATTATTAGAGCTTTATAATACATTTTAACATCTCATAGGCAAGCCTTCTTTCATCACTCTTCTTTTTCGAAATTTCTTATCCATTCTTGCAGGTCCACTCCTCAGGATGATCCTGGGAACTTCACTACAGTATCAAGATGTTATTGAAAAAACATAATTTGGAAAAAATGAAGCATCTTTATAACACTCATTTTTTCTTCCAGGGCTCTATTTCTCTTGACTTATCCCAAGTGATCTGTTGAGACTCTCAGTAAAGTTTTGTGATTATTTTTATATAGGTCCCTCTTTTTTCCTTAGGTTTCCAAAATAAACAGTTATAGGTTTCCCAATAATATTTTTACTCCTCTAATAGTGATATACTTTATTTGCTTCAATCCCTACTGTACTTAATTTTCTGTTCATTTATCACTAATTCAATCCTACACTCTCCCTAACTTATGTCACTATTCTTTCAGTATATACAAACATGATAGATATTTTACCAAATTCTTGCTCTGCTTTGATGTGAATTGAATGTTCTTCTGAGGATTCCATGCTCTATCTTCTGTACTGGGCCTTCTGTTTCCTAGATTTCACACAATCTTTCTTCTTGGTGTCTCCAATCAGACCAATGCTTATATAGGCTTTGTCATTACATTAGAGGTGTTGATAGAGGTCAGTGAAAAACACTTTCCAATAACTGGTGCTAGGTTCGTTGGGATCATATATTAAAAACAGTAAAACTGGCTTCTTTTTCAACCACACACAAAAATCAATCCCAAGTGGATTACAGATGTAAACGTGAAAGATGAAACAGTAAAACTTCTAGAAGATAACACAGAAGAGTATCTTCATGATATCAGGATACAAAAGGAGTTTTTCAATAAGACACAAAAAGCTCTAACCATAAATTTACAATTAAAAACATCTGCTCTTCGGGGCGCCTGCGTGGCTCAGTTGGTTAATCCTCTGCCAGGGTCCTGGGATCAAGCCTCACATGGAGCCTGAGCCCGAGGACGGGAGTCTGCTTCTCCCTCTGCCCCTCCCTGCTGCTCTTGCTTGTACCCTCTCTCGTGCTCTCTCCCTCTCTAGTGTGCTCTCTCATATAAATAAAATCTTTGAAACAAACAAATAAAAAACAAAAAAAATGTGCTCTTCAAAAGACACTGTAAAGACAATAACATGCAGAGTAGAAGAAATCTGCAATACATTTAATAAAAGACAAGTATGAAAAATGTTAGAACTCCTCAAAATCAATGAGAAAAAGACAAGCAATCCAACAGAAAAATGGACAAAGGGCAAGCACTTCACAAAAAAAGAGGTTATCTAAAAGGTCAATAAACATGCAAAATGGTGCTCAATCTGATTAAAAAATCAGCAAAAGACAAAATAAAACCATAATGACACACCATTCAGCTCTGATTAACCAAAACACACAACTGGCAACTGCAAGTACTAGCAAGGACATGGGGCAAAATGAACTTACACACATTTGGTGGGAATATAAACAGGCATAATGACTTCAGAGAACAATTTAGCATTATCTAGCAAAAGTGAAGATTTGCAGAACTTATGATCCAGCACTGCCACTTCTGGATATATACTCCAAGGAAAGCTTGCCTGTGTGCTCTAGCTGACATAAATAGAAGAATCTTCATGACAGTTTTGTTTGTAATAACAAACACTAAAACTAATTCAGAGTTCTAAAACAGGGCAATGGACATATAAATTATGAGTTAGTCAAAGAGTGGGTAGTATCTAGCTACACAAACTACAGCTATGAGCAGCATGAGTGAATCAGGATAAAAAGAATACATGCTATATGAATCCATTTGCATAAGTTAAAAAATGGAGAAAACTAAAGTATATTAATTATACAGCTAAGAATCTATGGGATAAACTACGCAGGGAATAATAAGTCCCAAATTCATGATACTGATTACCTTCATAGCATCTGGAGAATAGGAGACACGATCACATCACAATGAGCATACAAGGGGGTGTCAAAGATGTTGGGACTGTCACTACTGACTCGAGCGGTGGGGACTTGGGTATTCTTCTTAAGCCACACAAATACATCATATACTCTTCTGTATTTGTAGGTCATAATAAAAATTTTTAAAAAACACTTAACAGTCTGCAGATCCCCTCATTAAACCTCTGCAGCTCACAAACTGCCCCTGCCTACCCTGTAGGATTATTTTCTAGAGAGTGAACCTGGAACACTCCTGTCATGGGAATGCAGGCATAGCAGGCGCAGCTGAAGGAGGGGATTAAGGGAAAGCCTACGTACGGCATAAGGAGACACCAACCCCGTTCCCTCTCTCCAAATCGATTACTACATTCTTTAACTATCATTAGTTACATCTTTTTCTCATTGATATGAACTTATTAAGTTCAACATATCAATCTCAACATATCACATGCCGATCCTTATGTATTCCTGTATCACCAATATCCCACAGGTTTTATCTGTCTCTAATTGTTCTATGGCCCTATTGAGTCCCTGCATGGACTACACTGCCTTTTTGGCTGGCGGCACATCATTCATGTTCTTCATGGAGAGCTTAGAGCAGTTACGCCTGTCATCATCATTACATGTTTAACTTTTGGTTGAGCTGTTGTTGGTTTGTGTGTGTAATGGGAGTATTAACTTAGAAAACATAGTCTGTGACAAAAATGCAGTATTATTGTGTTCTGGAATTTGATCATATGATAAAATAGCCAAAAAAAGTTAAAACTCACCTCTGCCACTTCCTTTTGAAAAGTCAACGTCATCTGGGTTCTGCCATAAACAAAAGGTCCACCTCTACAAGAAACATTTTCAAGCCACTTGATAATCAGCGGAGTTGATACATTAAAAGGCAGATTTCCAATAATATGTACATTTGGAGGATCTGGTAAGCAGGAGAAAAAACAACCTATAATGATTTTATTAATGGATTCTGAATACAATTTTAGCTAAGAGTTAAATCAAACTGGATACTAATAGTATCAAACAAAAATATATAAAAAGATATGGCTAAGTATTTTTCAGTCCATTTATTCTTCAAAAGCAATGTTTTCTCACAATCAGCTTTGAATTATTAAGAAAAAAATTCTACCTTAATTAGTGCTCAAAGTCCTTAGGTTTTTTAGCTTAGGAAAAATATGAAAAAGACTTGGTTTGAGGAAAAAGACAATTTGATCTGGACATGATATGGTCAAAGTACCTGCACCCAGATGATGCTGTCAGAGGGTCAGATGACCAGGAAGGGGATACTGGCTGCATATACAGACAGAAGTGTCTGCAATATACACATGGTCAGTGAAACCACGGGAGCAGGGTCCTTCAGGCCAATCTGCAGCACAAGGAAGATGCTCAAAAAAGAAAAGTCTCAGGAACAACATCTAAGAGATGGGTGGAAAAATAACCACCAGCAAAGAATAGCTAGAGAAAGCTCACACAATGTAAAAGGAAGAACAGGAGAACCTGGTATCAGGGAAGGCAGGAGCAGAGATAACTTTTGGAAGAGAGTAGGCAACAGTCACATAAACGCCTGAGAGCTCAGTCAGATAAGGTTTGAAGAGGAAATTAGGAGGTCAATGTGACTCCAGCATGGGTGGGGCAAGGCTGGAAACCTGGAGTCCGTGTGCTTTGAAGAGAATGGCATGTTGGAAGGTGGCGACAGGCAGTGCCGACCTCTCTGAAGAAGCCTGGCCGTGGAGAGGCCGGAGACAGGAGGCAGTTAGATGGAGGCGCACAGCAGCACCTGCATCTGCTCCGAAGGGTTTCACAGGCAAGTAAAACACCTCACCTATCTATGTGTCCCAACGAGCTGGCACACAGCAGGTACCCAATAAACAGTCTACAGATGAAGAGTGCCTTGGCTGGTCACTGAATGGGAGACCGTGGAAATTAGATGGGGCGTGGTTTACTAAAACATTTCTTTTTTCACCATTTGGAAAAAGTTAACAGTTCATAGTTTATCCCATCCTTATATGGTATCATAAAAATAGCAAGTTTATTTGAAGAGAATTCTGAACATTTAAAAAACATGAGACAAGTAAATTAGAATTTAAAAAAAGAAATTAGATTTATTACTTTGGAAAAAAGTAGAAAAAATTACAATGCATACCACCTATTTAATTCTGTTCTGGTAATATTTAATATAAATGTATAATAACATTTGTAACATATAACAACATAAATATTTGTACTATAAATAATAAAAGAAAATAAGAAAACAACCCAAAATCACTTACCATCCTCCCACTGTCTTTTAAGACTTCCTGGAAAAGCCCTTTCTATCTTAAATGTCAATACATCTCCATGGACAATTCTCAGTTTTCCAGGTGCTGCATCAGAAAGCATCTAATTTACAAAAAGGTCAATAAAACGAGCTCATACTTTAGAGGATAGTGAAACACACACACACACACACACACACTCTCTCTCTCTCTCTCTATATATATTTTTTACTTCAGATCTGTGCATCATTAAATCAGTATGAAAAGGCAGAGACTAAGAGTGATCACTAATGAACTATGAGTACACCGTGTCTACTGTAATAGACAATCATGGTGTTTCATTTCTAACACATATGAATGACCCGTGATGGTAACAGATTATAGTAGAGCAATAGCTTATAATTTCACAAATGATATATTAACATAATTCTGACCCCCAGAATAACTTGCATTTCTGTACAGATTTAGCAAAAACTCAACTCCTATCTGCAAGGTTTTTTTTTTTTTAAAGATTTTTATTTGAGAGAGAGAGAGAATGAGCAGGGAGTAGAGGCAGAGGGAGGGAGAGAGAGAAACAGCAGGGAGCCTGACTCAGAGCTCGATCCTAGGACCTGGAGATTATGAGCTGAGTGGAAGGCTTAACCAACTGAGCGACTCAGGCACCCCTCTATTTCCAGTGTTTTTAAATTATAGACTAAGGACATTATAATATTGAGAACTATTTGGGAATAAATCATAAAGATGAACTTAATTCAATAAATCTTTATAGCCTAAATACATACAAAGAATTTTACATATTATCAAGAGCTATAACCTAATCTACCAGTAGATTCAAACCAAGTAGAAAGTCATTTGTCATTGCCAAGCTACATGTGGCACCCTGAGACACTCCCCTGACATTCCTAATCTTACTATTTCTTGATCCACAGGCACTTTCAACCTAATGAATTAACTATCCTGCATGTTTTACCAAGAGCTACCTTCCAGCCTATTTCTACTTTCCAACCACTTGTTTTCATTCCTCTTGCTTTAGTCTAAGTATAAAAGGAAAAAAAAAAGGCGGGGGGGAAGTACCCTTTTCTTTCTTATTTTTCTTCATTTTATCCACCTTAGCACCATACCTTAAGAAATGCTCTCACAGTACTAAAGTGTTGGCACCCATCTGAAAAGAGCCTTGAAGCTAAGCCATCTATATATTTGTATTGCTTTAAGGGCTCCTGTACCCAACACAAAACTTATTCTTAAAGTCCTTGGCTTAAAACAACAACAACAAAAAAACCCCCAAAATCCCAACCCAGATGCAGTCCCTGACGCTTACAAAGTTTAAAATGCAGGAGTGAATGCAATCGATGAGAACAAACATCCCTGCTAATGTAGATTTTAAGGAAGAGGTGACCCTCTTTCCACATCAAGTCTCACCTCAAGGAGCTCAGACACCCTTGGCTCCAAATCAGGGAACTTCTGCCCTGAGCACCCCTTACTTCTCTAGCTCAATTAAAGCTGATTCTCTCTACTAACCCTTCCCTTGCCTAATTCTGGCAACTGATAGGAAGGATGAAAGAAACATCACAGAAGCCAGAGAGGAGACCCTGGACCAAGGCACCCAGTTTGTAGATTACTCCTGCCTTTGGGTTAATGCTGTGCCTCGCATATGCTTCTTTACAGCATTTATAACATACTATATTGCGACTGTGTACAGAGAGGCTTCTTTCCCATGTAATAACATATGCTCCTTAAGGGTAGTATCTGTTTCTCATCTACTTTAATGTCCCTTGCAGCTACAACAGCACACAGTAGGTGCTTCACATTTTTTATAAGTGAATGACCAACTATAAAACTGGAAACTTCCCCTCCCAGACCGAGATTTGAGGGTCCCAAAATCTGTAAGGTCAAGAAACTTGCAAAGATTTATTTCACTGATAAATCAGGTAGAATTATATAAGTAACATTTCAGAAATTCAGAGCTCAAATGCTTATATTGGTAAGAAGCTTAACATTTTCAATTTGGGAATCATCTAGTTTGGTATGTTTCATCATGGCAGTTTACCAAAAATAACTGCGTACTTCTGATACTAATGTACTTATGGATTATTTTAAATTACCAAGATTTGCTAAAACTTAATCTGATGAGTTCCAGACAATAAATCATCAAAAACATAATATCCTCAATACACTATGAATAAAAAAGGAGCTAGCTCTCTGTGGGACAGGCTCCTACTATATAAAAACTGTATTTATTGATAGCATTTACTATCAACGAAGAATTTGTTTTTTTCTATAATTATGCTTCACATAATTAAAACAAATTAGCATACCAAAAACAGAGAGGCAGAAGAACTAAAAGCTTATGCTTCATGATATCAATATAGAGAAAGTAATAAAGTAATTAGTAATTAAGACTACAACAAAACAATGTAAACTTGGCTCTTTGGCATTAATATACATGTTCTGATAACCACGTTTGAAATGTTCATTTTTTTCTACAATGACACATATAGCTGCATACCAGAAAACTGATATAACACACATTAACCTTCCTTTCCTAGATTTAAAGTTGCATTTCTATCCTATTTCTTTTGGATGCCCCTTCAGGCTTAAGTCTCAGTCAATGACAAAGCAAATCCTCCCCTTCTTTAAAAGGTACATCTTTTAAGACCACTCTGTAGCTTGATTTTCCCCTTTCAGACTCCCCACTGCAGAAGGAATGAATACTGGTGACCACAGCTTTAAGTGAAGTCCTTGAAACAATTATGGGGGGAAAAAAAACACTATACAAACTGAAATTATAGTATGATTACAGACAACAGCCATTTAAACACCTAATGATATTCAGCAATGACACACGAACACTTTCTAACCAACTACTAATAGAGAAAGATGTTTTCATTATCCTGACAATATTTGGGGGATGGTGGAGAGGTGGGAAAGATCACTGTTATAGCCCTTCAAGAACACTGCAACATTACACTTTAAAACCCTGATGGTGTTAGCTCATAATGTGCTCAAAGGCACAGCCTACTATGAATGCAAGCACTTGATTACAGCCAAATGAGTATTTTTACAGACACTCTTAAATTGTTCTATCATTTTTATTTTAGTTTTCAATCCTATATCCTTCCAAAATGAGATTTAAGTCAGCTTAGAGTAAAAGGCATTCATTAGCTAAGGCTGTAAAAGAAGAAACAGAAAACCAAATCATGAAAAGGAGAAGCATGTATATAAATCCTAGAGGTGTTAACTCACAATTTATATACTGAATTACAGAATTCTTAGTCTCTACTGGAAATAATTATACTAAATCCCCAAGAGAGAAAATAGTTTTTTTGTAGCATTAAGTTTTAAGGGATATAGGGAACAAAATAATGGCGAATGCCTTTAATAAAAATGAGGAAACAAATGCAGGAGAATTCTTCATTTGGTGATTTAAAAAAACTCTCTCTTCTAAGTCAAGGTCTTCGAGATAGCTTTTCCACAGGGGGCAAGTTACTATGGTCCACCTAGGTAATTTGTTGGTGATCTAATCTGATGAGGAAATAATTTATTCAACTCTTAGAACTTAGACACAACTAGAAATTCCTTGAGAACAAAGAACTATATTGACTGGTCATTTTGTATGTTTTATGCCACCTTCTCATCATGAGGGGCTCATGGCAACCAGCACTGTACAGTGAGCTAAAGCATTAATTACACAGCCTGGTGATATTACCTTCTTCCTGACTTGCTACATAGGAGGAACCCAAACATTGTTGAAGTGCTGTGCAAAAGTGTTAGGCAAACTATATGAGAAAGAATCTGTAATACAGAACATGATAGGTGAAAGACAAAATTTGTATTCTTCTAAAGATCACATAAAAAAGACTAATGCTATTATTCAAAAGAATTTAAGACAATGTTATAATAGACTTTTCTTTAAGGTGAAGATTACAGCATGATTTCAAAAAGTCAACTTGTTTTGTTTTTTAAACAGGACCCAAACACATATAGCAGAAATTAATTTACTCAGCCTCATCAAGGATTTAGAGATTTGATTTAGTAAACTTTCTATTCAACCAGCGGTTAACATTTCTTAAAAAGAAACTTACGTAGTATCATGTCCTATCTTTTTCTTGTCCAGTTGCTATGGCTACGACTTCCAGTAATGTAACAAATAAAAATGGGGAGAATGGACATACTTGTCTTGTTCCTGATCTTAGAGGAAAAGCTCTCTCTCAGTTTTCCACTATTGAGTATGACATTAGCTGTGGGTTTTTCATAATATCATGTCGAGGTATGTTCCCTCTAAACCTATTTTGTTGACTTTTTATCATGAATGGATGTTGTTCTTTGTCAAATGCTTTTTCTGCATCTAGGATCATATGTTCATTTTTTATACTTTCTCTTATTAATGTCATGTATCACATTGATTAGCGAATACTGAACCACCCCTGCATTCCTGGAATAAATCCCAGTTGATCAAGGTGAATGATTTTTTAATGAATAACAATGAAGCAGCAGAAAGAAAAATTAAGGAAACAATCCCATTTATAATTGCACCCAAAATAACAAAATGCCTAGGAATAAACTTAACCAAGGAGGTGAAAGACCCATACTCCGAAAACTATGAAAACACTGATGAAAAAAACTGAAGATGACACAAGTGGAAAGGTATTCCATACTCATAGACTAGAAGAGTCAACATTACTAAAATGTCCATACCACCCAAAGCAATCTCCAGGTTCAATGTAATCCCTATCAAAATACCAACATTTTTCACACAACTAGTACAAATTACACTAAAATTTATACTGAACCACAAAAGACTGCAAATAGCCAAAGCAAACTTGAAAAAGAACAAAGCTGGAGGTAACACAATCCCAGATTTCCAGATATACTGCAAAGTTATAGTAATCAAAATAGTATGGTGCTGGCAAAAAAAACCACAAAAAACAAAACAGGCACAGAGATTAATGGAGCAGAATAGAGAGCCCAGAAATAAAACCATGCTTCTTTGGTCAATTAATCTTTGACAAAGGAGGCAAGAATATATCATGGGGAAAAAGACGGTCTCTTCAACAAATGGTGCTTGGAAAACTGACAGCTACATGCAAAAGAATAAAACTCTACCACTTTCTTACATCATACATA